CCCTTGAGGTGCTCACACAGCCCAGCCTCCTGGGCGTACTGTGCTCGAAGCATCCTGGGCCCCTCCCAGTGACGGCTTGAATCACTGGGGACCGTCTCTGTTTTTGTCCACCTGACCCTGAAATCTCTGGGGCTCCATTGCAGCTGCGGGAGCCTGGAGCAGGAGCTGGGGAAAGCCATGTATGCGGTAGGTAGAGAATGTTATTTGTAGCTGTGTCCCCAGCACCTGGAGCAGTGCATGGCACATAGTAGGTGCACGATAAATGCCTGTTGACAGAGCGCCTGCCCTGCCCAGGCTCAGTGCTGCAAAGGAGGGTGACGTGTCTGACTCTGCCGGTGAGAAAGCCTGAGAGAGGCGACACCACCGCAGGCAGCAGCACGGGGGGTCAGACTCAGGTTTCCTCCTTCCCCAGCCCCTGGCCATTCCGACACAGCAAAGAAAAAAGTATCCCTGAGTGTTAAGTTGGAACCACGAATACTTTGCTTAGCAGCCACGCCGGCTGTGCACAAGGCCCCCGACCTGCGCTCGGAGCTACGCGTAACAGCTGTGGCGCTCAGTTGGTGCTCAGTGTTGGCGGAATCGATGAATAAACACTAAGATTAAAACTCATGGTGCAGGCCGGGTGCAGCGGCTCATGCCTGCAATCCCAGCACTCCGGCAGGCCGAGGCAGGAGGATGGCTTGAGCTCAGGAGTTTGAGACCAGCCTGAACAAGTGTGAGACCCCGTCTCTACAAAAAATAGTAAAAATTAGCTGGATGTGGTGGCGTGTGCCTGTAGTCCCAGCTACTCGGGAGGCTGAGGCAGGAGGATCACTTGATGAGTCTGAGGTTGCTGTGAGCTAGGCTGACGCCACGGCACTCTAGCCCAAGCAACAGGGTGAGACTCTGTCTCAAAGAAACCACAGAAATCTCATGGTGTTAACGGCAGCTTGTTTATGAAGCGTGCACTGCAAGGCCGGCTCTGGGGTTTCTCATCTGCAAAATGCACGTGATTGTCCCACCCTCCGTGGATGGCGTGAGGACTCAAGCGTGGTGCTTAACCTCTGTCCCCTTGGACCTGGGCACTACTATTTACCCTGTTCTTTGGGTGAGGAAGCAGAGGCCCAAAGAGGTGGAGCTACGGTCCAGGTGGAGGTAGCCCAGGGGTGCCTCCAGGCCCCTACTGCACGGTGGGTCCAACAGGTTGGCACCGGCTGTGTGTGTGACGGCGCCTTGGGGAAGAGGGACGTGGTCTCGGGTGGGGCCTCCGAGTGGGCACCAGGGGTTTTTTGAATCTTATTTTTATTTACTTTTTTATTTTTATTTTTTAGAGATAGGGTCTTGCTCTGTCGCCCCGGTGGGAGTGCAGTTGCGTGATCATGGCTCACTGCAGCCTCCAATTCCTGGGCTCAAGCCATCCTCCCGCCTCAGCCTCACGAGTAGCTGGGACTACAGGTGTGCCACCACACCTGGCTAATTTTTAAATTTTTTTTGTGTAGAGATGGAGTCTCACTATGTTGTCCAGGCTGCTGTCCAACCCCTGGCCTCAAGTGATCCTCCTGCCTTGGCCTCCCAAAATCAAAGTGCTGGGATTACCAACGTGAGCCATCTCGCCTGGCCTTAGGAGCGCTGTTTTTAAAAGAGCCAGGAGAGGGCACCCTTGAGCCGTGATGCCTGCAGAATCCTTGCTCTTATCTCCAGCTCCTGTCACCGAGGCCTCTGCGTGGTCTGGGGGCCGGTGAGAGCTGGTGCAGGGAACAGCGTCCTGTCCCCAGGCACCCGGGCACCCTGGGCAGAGCCTGGATGTGGGGTCTCAGGCATGGGCTCACCCAGCTCAGCGCTTTCGAAGGACTAGAAGTAGGGACTGATGCCAGCAGGGGTGAGGGGGGTGGAGCCTCCATTCTTGGTCGTGTCACCTCCCTTCTCCAAGCCTTGGTTTTCCCGTCTGTAGAATGGTCACGATCCTAGTGTTCTGCCTGCGGGTGGCGTAGAGATGCATGCCGGAGCGGGAGCGGGTCTCAGCTCAGAGCCTGGCCCCGGATGCTTAGGAAGGGCGGGCGTCTGCTCCCCCAGCTCGGGTCCCCCAGGCCCCAGCCACTGGCTCCCCCGGGGGTCCTTTCCCACACCTGGTGTTTCATTCCTACAAGGTTGGCGTCAAAACGTTTTTACAGCCACGGAAACTGAGGCTCAGAGAGTAAAGTCACTGTCCCCACGATCGCCCTCGTGCCGGGGTTCCCGGCCTGGCTATCAGAGTCACCTGAGAGTTTCCTGAGATCCTGGTGGCTCTCCCAGAGCAGCGAATCGGCCCCTCTGGGGTGGGGTCCCGCGTGGGTGACCCCGGCGGGCAGCCAAGATGGAAAACCACTGCCGTGGAGCCAGCAGAGGGCAGAAGCAGGTTTCACAGCCCTCTGGCCTCTGCGGCAGCACCTCCCGCTTCAGCCGGGGCAGGTCGGCCCAGGGCCCTCCAGGGGCCAGGGTTTCGGGTCTGGTTTGCGGCGCTCAGTGCCTGCCGCAGAGCTGGGTCAAGGCCTGGTGGCCGCCAGCACCGGGCTGAGCTGCCCTCCCGGGCCTGGGTCCCGGGGCTCCGCTCCCTGCCCCCATCCCTCTTTGGGGCCCGGCCCCCTGGAATCCCAGACAAGCCTTTCCCCTCAGGAAATAGGCTTTTAATAGCCTGAGGCGGGCACATAATTAACAAATAACAATTCTGGCCTTGGCACAAATGAGCTCCTTGTCTGGGGCAGGGTTGGCATTTGTTTTTTAATCCCCAAAGTCGGCTTTATCCTCCTGAGAGCTTTTCCCTCCTGCTCAGCCCTCTCTGCCCCTGAGGCCATGCAGCCCTGGGATCTGAGCGGGGCTGGGGTCCTTCCTCCCCCTTCCCCCTCCCCCTTTTCTTTCCCCTCCCCCTTCCTTCTCCCCTTCCTCCCTCCCCTTCTCGCACCTCTCCCTCCCCCTCTCCTCCTTCCCTCCTTCCCTCCCCATCCCCTCTTCCCTGCCTTCAGCGTTGTCTCTGGGGCTCGCAGAGGACCTGATGCTTTCAGACTCAGATTGTGGGCTTTGTCCTCAGGCTCCAGACCATGCTAAATGCAAATGTGGGACGTTTTATTTTAGAATCTCGGAATATTCACTGAGGAAGGGGCTTTGAGCGGGGAGGCTCCTTCCTGGGACAGACACATCGCGGAGCTTCCTTCGTTGCAGAGCCCTGTGAGCGGCTCTTAGGCTCTTTACGGAAGGATGACAGAGGGAGAAGTGAACAGGCACGAAGCCCCCTGGGCCGGCTGGGGGCCGAGTGCTTCCTGTGAATCTGTTCGTTTCATCACACACAGGAGAGGCTGCCACCACCCACCTGCAGCTGGGGCTTTGGATTTGGGCTTTGTTTGGGGACTAACAAGCCTCGGGCTCTTGAGGTTCTATTATTGCCAGTTAGGACATCAGGCATGTCCCAGATCCAAACTCCCTGCCGGTCCCGGGTGGCACAGAGCAGGGACTGGTTTGCAAACCACAGCCCCTAGGCCCCAGCCTGCCCACTGCTTGTTTTTATAAATAAAGTTTTATTGGGACAAGGCCACGCCCATTCATTTCCATGTTGTCTGTGGCCGCTTTCATGCTACAGGAGCGAAGCTGTGCATATAGCTGGGACGGCCACAAAGTTAAAGGTCATCTAGACGTGTAGGCTTTTGTGGACGGATGCAAGCTGTCCTTGACGGTCAAGGTGTGACCTGCCCCTCAGAGAAACACCCCTTAGGTCACCAAGGGTCAGCCTGAGAACCACACCCTATGATTTCTCACAGCCAGGTGTGGGAGTCCCACTGTGCACCTGCCTGCCCTTCCTCCCAGGGTCCAGGGAGGGGCTTTGCCGGCTCCATCAGTTACCTAGTGCTGGGTGACAAAACAGTCAAGACTCAGTGGCTTAAACAACAAATCTGTATTCTCCCGGGGTTTCTGCAGGTCAGGAATTATGGGGTGGCTCAGCTGGGTGGATCTGGCTCAGGGTCAGTCACGAGGTTACATTCAAGGTGGCAGCCCAGGCTGCGGTCTCATCTGACAGCTGGCCTGGGGCTGGAGGGTCCACTGCCACAGCTGCCGGCCGGAGGCCTCAGTTCCTTACCACACGGCTTCTCCACGGGCTGCTCGAGCATCCTCAGGACATGGCAGCTGCTTCCGCCAGGCAGGTGGCCCAAGAGAGCAAGGAGGAATTCACAGTGTCTTTCATGACCTCGCTTTGGTCTCGAACTCTTGACCTCAAGTGATCCTCCTGCCTCGGCCTCCCAGTGTGCTGGGATCACAGGTGTGAGCCACCGCACCTGGCCTTAGGACCTCACTTTGGAAGTCACACACCGTCACTTCTGTTCTATTCTGTTCACTAGAAGCGGGCCAATGAGTCCACCCCACACTCAAGGGCTCAGACGCTTGTGGAAGTATTTTAGAACCACCACGCGGACCCTCCGGGGATCGTTTAGCAGCGTGTCCTGGTGGTCACGGGAAGCCTGAGGGGGGAAAATAACCCCCCATTGCTCCGGTCCTCCTGCTGGTCTAACTCTGCTGCTGGAGCTAGTTTGATCCCAGTCCAGCACCGGGGAAAGAAGTGGTAGGGCACAGACAAGGATTTTAACACCCGGTATAATGGTGCCGGAAGCTTTTTTTGTTTAAGATTTAAAGCACCCCTACTTCCTCTGCCCAGGCACTGTGCTAGGCTCGAGGGAAATACGGACGTGTGGGATGGTGGCTGCCCTCCAGACGCTGGTGGCACAGGGAGATAGAAACGAGAGCTAGTGGCGTCAGTGCCGTGTGGCCAGGGCTGAAGGATCTGATGCGTGCATGAGTGTAGATGGGCAAAGCAATCAGATCTCTTGGTAGATCTGCCCCAAGGAAGAGCATGTTGTGCTGGGTTTTGAAGGATAAGTAGGAGCTCGTTACCCTGGCAAAGGAAGAAAGCATATCCCGGGCTGGGAACAGCCCAGTGAATCTGGGGAGCTGTGAGCGGTTTGGGAAGTAGTGAGGTGGGGCCTGGGCGTGACGGCCGAATGCCGGACCAAGGGGCCGACTCGCCTGTGGTCAGTGTTTCCCCGAGTACGCTCACGACTCATGGCTCTGCGAGATGTTAACGGCGGCGGGGGGCTCATTTAACTTCCCTGAGCCTCAGTTTCCTCATCTGTGAAGTGGGGACAGCCATCCCCGCTCTGCTGAGGGTCCTCAGGACTCGCCGTGGTGGGGAGGGGAAGGGGGCGGCCAGTGGCGGGCGGTTCTCCAGCGGCCACTGATGCCTGTCTCTCTGTCGTGTGTACGTGTGTGTGTCCCACGGCCTGCCTTCTCAGGCTTTAAAATGTGTGTCAGCAGCAGCAGCGGCAGCCACGACGAGGCCCCCGTCCTGAGCGACAAGCACCTGGATGTGCCCGACATCATCATCACCCCCCCGACCCCCACGGGCATGATGCTGCCAAGAGACTCGAGGCAGACAGGTGAGGCCGTCCTGCCATCATCGCCAAGCTGGGTCAGGTCCGGGGGGCCCCCTTCTCTGTCCCCACCGCCCCGCCCCCGGCTTCATCGAGAATCTAAGGTCAGGTCTGTGTCCTCGCCACGCGGGCCCCAGCCGTGGCACCAGGCTCAGGAGACGTGGGCTGTGAAGTAATTACCAGACAGGCGCGCCCGCGGCAGGGGACAGGTGATGGATGGATGGGGCCGCGCTGGCCCCCGACACGTGTCCCCCGCCAGCCAGGTACGAGATGGATGTGCCGTCCCTGGCCAGCGGGGGACGTGCTCCATCTTGTTGGCCACGGCAGTCTGGCTGGACAGGACAGACCTGGAAGCAGCCCACGCCAGGCGGAGGAGATGGAGTTTCCCCCAGGCAGAGGGCGGGAGGGGGAGGCCCAAACTGGCGCCCGGCTGCCCCTCCGCGGGCAGCGCTGGAGCCGTGGCGCCCTTCGTCCGCCTCCCGGTGGCACAGGGGCTCAGGAGCCGGGCCTGCTGCTGGGAGCGATGATGATGGTGATGACCGTGACGGGTGGCGCGCACTAAGTGTGACGAGTGATTTTCTCGTCTAGTCCCCACGGCAGCCCTGCGTTGGGTACACGCTCCGTCCCATTTTGTGGATGGATACACCGAAGTTCAGAGAGGTTGAGACATTTGCTGTGCGGCTGGTACGTGGCAGAGTAGGGATTCAGACCCAGGCCGGACGCCCTCCCGGTGGGTGACAACACTCGTCTGATCCGCCCTCGTGGCGTGTGGGTCCCTCTGGGCACGTGTGTGGGGCGCGCAGCGCCGATGGGCTGGAGTGGAGCGCGTGGAAGGCACCGTCTGGGAGGGGGCCTCGGGTAGACTGTTCTGGATGTTCTCAGTTTGGGTCTCAGCTTGCCCAACAGAGCAAGTGACCGGGAGAGAGCCACTGGGTCGGGCTGTGCTCGGTGCTGATTGCGACAAGGCACCTTCCCGTGTGACCTTTCCGGGTGCCTGGCGCCGGGCTAAATGCTTTTCACGAATCTCATTTCATTCTCACCCCAACCCTTAAGCTGTGGGAACAGTCCTCGCTCCAGTTCAGAGTGCGAGAGCTGGGCTTCAGCTCCTCCTGCACCCGGCGGCGGCTCATCAGAGAGCTCAGGGCGGCGGCCGGAGGCCCAGGTCCCTGTTCTGCTGCCGCAGTCCTTCCCTGCCCGAGCCGCGGCGTCCTCGCGAAGCGGGAGCTGCGGGGCTGCCCCGGGAGGCCTGTGGGCCGACCTTTCAGGCCGGAGGCCCCGAGCCCCCAGGAAGGTTCCTGGACCTGGGAAGGTTCCTTTGAAGCTTAAGCAGCTCTGGGGGCAGATTTGCCTGGAAGGACTGGCGTGGGTGTCCCCTCCCGACTGTTCCGTCACCCGTCCCTGCACTCTTCCCTGGGGAAGGGAGGCCCGGGAGAGGGCGCACCGGCCTTGGAGCCAGAAGACCCTGACTCTGGGTCTGTTGACTGTGAGCGGGAGGCAGCGTGCTGTCCCCAGCCTCAGTTTCCCTGTCTGTAACAGGGACGTGGCGGTGCTTCTGGGAGGTGAGCAAAGACGGGGCGAGCCGCAGAGCCTCGGGGGTGGCTGTGTAGCTGATGCTCCTGACAGTGGTAGTTAAGCAAGAGAACAGCTCACCAGACCCGGTTAGCTCTCGGAGAGCTCGCCCGACACCGAGGGCTTCTCTCTCGGGGTTGAGAGGGGAGAGAGCCAGACTCTCTGCCTGTCCTCCAGGGGCCACCCTGGGGGACTTGGAGCAGGTCTCCCCGACCCCAGGCTTCAGCTCCTCTGTGAGACCACGGTGTGGACGTTGATGCCCTCACTGTCCCCGAAGAGGCTGAGCCGGGGCAGAGCCCAGTGGGTGCAGTCGCAGGGACCCCAGCCAGAGACTTCGGAGGGCTAGGCATTGAGGGAGTGCAGGGGGCGCCTGCAGACCCCCGAGAGACCCAGCAAGACCGGGGCCCCCTCTCAGCCTCTGGTAACACCACAAAGCAAGGGAGCCCCGGCCCCAAAGCTCCCGGGGAAAGGGCCCGCGGTGGGGTGGGGAGGGTCACACAGGTGTTAATTTTCTTTTTCCTAGTCTGGCTGGACGAGACAGGGTCCTGCCCGGATGACGGAGAAATTGAGCCTGAAGCCTGAGCAGTCCCAGCGCGGGGATTTGCACGTGGCTCCTGCTCCAGCGCCCCTGGCCCGGGTGTCCCGGGGACGTGGCTGCCTGGGGCTGGTGTGGACGGGACACTGAGTGAATCCAGCCTTCTGCCCGGAGAGGTGCGGCAGGACCAGCGAGTAATCCAGCCTGCCGGCTTCCAGAACGGCGTTTCCCAGGCCCCACTGAGCAGACAAGACCTCCGACACCTCCATGCTCTTGCTGACCCCGCCGTGGCAACAGGTGATGCCGTGGTGATGGCTGTCGGGCTCCCAGGGAGGGGCTCCTTTCCGGACAGATGCCCTCCGGCACGCTGGGCCGTGTGGACACGTGGCCCCCAAGGTCAACACAAACAAGAACTTCTCGCAAGAGGAGTGGCCCCGTTTTCTACAAGTTGTTTTACCGAGACTGGAACCGTCCAAAAAGCGATTTATAATTTCTGTTTTGCATTCTAAATAAAGGTCCTCCGTAATGAACATCCCGCTTCTTGGACTGGGAGGAGGACACGGAGCACACTCCGGTAGAGAGAGGTGGGTTTCGGAGAGTTGCTTAGCACACTGGGGCCAGTCTGGCTGTGACGGGCCTTTGGGTGGTCTGAGCCCCTCAGTGCTGAGGCTTCAGTGTGGCCAAGGGCACGGGCTCTGTGGTCACCTGGACCTCATCCGAGTCCCAGTTCCATCCCTACCAGCTGTGGGACCCTGGCGATACTAATCTCTGGGTTGGGAGGCAACATTGTATTTGTTTTGTTTTCAAAGAACGTCAAATTGTTGGTGTCCCCATCTTCCCATGGGCCGCTCTGACCTTGGCACTGGTGTGTGTGTTCATTTCCGGTGGCTTCTCCTGGGTTTCATCGTCCCTCTGGGTTGGGCTCCCCCAGAAGCAGAGCCCGAGCAGAGGGTTCCGGAGCAAGGAGTTGATTCGGGACGTGGTCCCAGGATACACGGTGGGGGGTGGGAGGTGCCGTGCAGGGGTCTCCAAGACGACGGCCCTCAGATTTAATCGTCCGCTAGGAGGACTTGGAGGACGCAGAAAGGCCATTGCAGTGGCGGCTGTGGGTCCTTACAGCACGCAGTTACGGCTAAAGCCAGCAGGGGGAAGCGGGTGCGGGAGAGACGGGCACGAGCTTCCTGCTGCGCTCTCCGCGGAGCCTGGATAACGACAACTTCTCCTGACAACGCGCGCTGAGTACGGCCAGCCGGGGAAGCTCCCCCAGCCTCGGGGTGCAGAGTCCTTACTGGGGCTCAGTCTCAAGGACATGGCTGACACCACGTTAGCCTCCGGCCACGCCAGAGGTTGAGCTGATGCCCCCATCATTAGCAGAGACTGTACACGGGGGCCCAGGCCCAGGTAAGCAAGGACACTCTGGCCAGACATTCCAAGGGTTCAGAGGTGACCCCCCAGGAGCCGAGGGCAAAGGCCAGGCCTCTCCTTGGGCTCAGTTAAACGCTTCACTGCAAAGAGGTGGTCGGGAGAGGGCAGGAGCTCATAAGGGGGCTGATGGAGCCGGTGACCCCTGTGGGCACCTGGGCTTAGGCCCCCTGGGGCCTCTGGGGCGGCAGTGTGGACCCCCGAAGGGTGAGGCATGGAGTCCCCTTCCCCTGGTCACCGACCGAGGGTGGCTCACAGACCGCCCAGCCTTCCCCGCCCGGCCGCGCTCACACAGCAGAGCTGCAGAGGACACGCGGCTCTCGCTGGGCGCCGAGTCCCAGGGGTACGGTGAGCCCCACAGCCAGGCTGGCTCCCCGCGTGCGTGGGCCTCGCATCACAACGGGGCCACGCTCGAAAGTCCCACGCCGGGTTTAACGCTCTGCTGTTGCTGCCTTGAAATTCTCAGTCAGTGCTGAGGAAACGTGGTCACTTTGCACCAGGCCCCGCAGGCTATGACGGGTCCTTCCCGCAGCCGGCACGCGGGTCTGGGTGCCAGGACGCAGCTCACGGGACGGGGCAGCAGCAGCGGAGCGCCCTGGCGGTCCAGCCACCGTCCCCTCAGCCCGTCCTCCTCTGAGTCTCGAGACGTTTCCTTTCTCATCTTGTGTGGAACCAGCCCCCAGCCTGGGAAATCTTTTTGGCAGCCTGGCTCCCAGCCACCGAGCTGCCGAACCACTGCCCTGACCTGCGGCGGTTTTTTAACGTTCGTACTGAGGTAGCACCTGTACGACAGCGTGCACCGCACCCCACCACGTAGCTCAGCAGGTGTGTGCGTGCGCCCTGGGTCCACTTCCCCGACGGAGACGGCACGTTTCTGCCCCCGACCAAGGGCTGCGCTGGACTGTCGCAGAGGCCGCTGCCATCCTGGTTCCCGTACCACGGACGGAGTCATCTCTCCTGTTCTCGCACTTCATACAACGAGTCACACAACCGTGGACTGCCGTTATCTCAGTAATTGTCCTGTTCCTGCTGCAGCAACCAAACAGCACGGACTGGGTAATTTATAAACACCAGAAACTCGCGGCTCACGGTTCTGGAGGCTGGAAGTCCAAGACTGAAAAGCAGGTTTGGTGTCTGGTGAGGGCTGCTCCCTGCTTCGAAGCTGGCCCCCTGGGCCGCGTCCTCACTTGGGGGCAGGGCGAGGCAGCTCCCTCAACCTCTTTTATGAAGGCGCCGATGCCACTCGTGAGGGCGCAGCCCTCGTGGTTTTGTCACTCCCCAGAGGCCCCCACCCCGCAATGCTGTCGCGTTGGGGATTAGGCTCCAGTGTATGAATTTTGGGGGCACAGCAACGTTCAGCCCATAGCAGTAACATAGTGGCTTGAATTGAAACTGGATTTATAATAACAAAATATTAAGTCAACAGTACGGAAAGATACACGCATTTAGCACAACCTGATGGCTGGCAACTGCCAGCTGGAGCCAGACTGCATCCCCCGCCTTCACGTCCAGACTCAGGGCAGAGGAAGGCGCAGCCACCATCTTCCTCCTCTCACCTCCACCTGCCGGCTGTCCCCTGTCCCCTGCCATTCTCTGCCCCATCATCCTCCAGTCGTCAGCTCCCAAATCGTCCGTGACGGCTCTTTTCACGTTCAGTGACCAGAGCCTTTGTGGCCATTGATTTTCCTGCCGTCCTCGCTTGCCCCTGCCCACTCCGGCCCGGCTCGGACAGACCCGGTCTGGCCCCCGGGACAGCTCGCCAGGACCACCGATATGCCCGCCAGGCGGCATATCCAGCGGGTGCCACTGGTGCCGCTGTTTCTGGGGCGTGGCCTTCCGCTGCAAGCACCTCCTCCTTCCCCAAAGCCTCTGGTGCGGGAGCAGGGGCAGGGGCTCCTCAGGCCGACTGGAGGTCCCGGGAGTTACCACCCTTGGGAGCCGCCCCGCCCCACGCCAGGAGGGGTGGTGGATCGGCACCTCAGCTCCGTCACCCCTCCGTGGGGGTGTGGTGGGCAGCGCCGAGGAACATGCGAGCCCCCACACTTGCATGCGCTCCACGCGGAGATCTGGTTCAAGTGCAGATTCTGACGCGGGAGGCCGGGGTCTGCGACTGTGCGTTTCTACCCAGCTCCTCAGGGCCGGCACATGGCCCGCTGACCACACCTGGAGTAGGGAAGCCACAGCCGCGCAGAGGTTCCGGCTGGGCCTGAGCTGGGGTTGCCGCAGTAGGGACCCGCGCACCAGCTGCACCAGCTCCTTCTCCAGGCCCCGTCTCAGGGTCCCCCCTCCCTTCCTGGCGCTTGCTGGGATTGCCTTCCACGCAGGATAAACCGCTCCCACTGGCACCCTGTTTGGGACCTGCTTCCCAACCAAAGACGATGTCCCCGTACCCCATTCATCAGCTGCGTGACCTTAAGCAAGTCACTTTGCCTCTCTGAGCCTCAGTTTCCGTAATCTTCAAACGGAGACAGTAGGTTGCAGGGAAGATGACACGGATGAACGCGCACAAGGAACCTAGAAGGATGCCTGGCACGCCGTTTTAAAAGTCCCCTAAAATGTTAGGGATAACGCTGATGTTTGCACAGCTATGTTTGAGAACGGGGCCGATCCGTGTTGCCACAACTTTGCTGGGTCGTCGGGTTCTACGTGAAGCTGACGCTTCATTAAAGGCTGGGTGCTGTGCCTCTTTGGGGCTCGTTCAGAATGAGGATTTATTGTGAACCCAAAACATCCCTTCCTGATTTTTATGTTTTGAGTCTGTTCTTTAAATCTGCAGTCCCCAACCCCCCGGCCACAGCCCAGGACCGGGAGGCGGCCTGTTAGGAACCTGCCGTGCAGCCCTCCCTGAGCTCACCACCCCACCCACTCCCCGCCCCTGGAAAAATTGTCTTCCATGAAACTGGTCCCTGGTGCCAAAAAGGTTGGGGACTACTGCTTTAAATACATCCTGGGGGAATGGTTACTAATGTTAGTAGTTTATTTTTCATTTATTTTTAATGCCAAAGCCAAGCATACTGATTAAAACCAACAATAAAAAAGCTTCGTGAATGGCTCCCCCAAAGTGGGGGGAGCAGGGACCACAGTAAATGGTAAATGAAGAGGAAATGGATGGAAATTCCCAGCTCTAGCTGGCGACAAAGCCCGTGAACCCTAACCCCGGTGTGCTGGGGAAAGTTCCCAGGTTCCAAGAGGCAAGGGAACGTTCTGGTCTCGAAACTTGGGATCTACGCTGTATTCCTCCAGGAAGGGAGGCTGGGAGGGGAGGAAAGTGTGAAAGCAGATGGAAATGTAATTTTTTAATGACAGCAGCAGATGGCAAAAAGACACAAGAGTGTATTCACACCACGTCGGAGCCATTTGAGAGCGCCTGGCCCAGCCGCGATGTGCGCGGTGGGGCTGTCGTGATGGCCCCCCCGCCAGACCCAGGAGCGGCGGGCTGCAGGCAGGAACACGCAGGCCCCCCAGAGAGGGCCGGGATGCGCCGCCAGGCTGTGCAGAGCCACAGGTAGATGGGGAAATACCTGTGGCCACCTGGGTCGAATCTGGAAGCTTCCCTGGGCCTGGCTCTTCCGGGCATGGTGTGGATAGTCGATGGGCTCCGCATTCAGACAGGCCCCACTCTTGGTGCCCGGGGCTGCTGCCCTAGGTGAGGCCACCACCACTACTCACCTGCCTCCAGGTGAGTCTCCTGCTGCTAGACTGTCCTACCCCTAACTTCATCCACCCAACGTTCTTTTCTAAAACGCAAAGCTATCGTGTCTCCCTGTGGGCTTTCTTATGGTGAAATAGCGTGCCTTAAATGGCCTCCCACTGACTTCAGGATCAAGGCCAAGTTCTTCGAGTAGCTTGCAAGGGCAGGCCCAGCGTTGGCCCTACTTATCTCTCTTGCCTCACTCCTCACCTCCGCCTGCGTGGAACACCACACTCAGCAGGGAGGATAAATACCTCGCAGGACTGTTGAGAAAGAGCTACTACAATTGTCAAGAGGGCAAAGCACGATTTATTGAGCAAGGCTGTGTCAGACACCGCTGAGGACTTTACCTGCGTCAATCCTTTAAGCCTTGCAACAGCTGTAAGAGAAGGTAAGGGTCAAAGTAGGTAACAGGTGAGGCCGTCGGGGGCCAATCAGTCTGAGCTGCTGCGGCTGGCCAGAAACGCTAGGCCGTGGGCACCGGGTGACATCAGCCCTGAAGGAGGTCAGGTTATCACCCCCACCTCAAAGACCCGGGCGCAGGTGCACGTTCAGGTCACAGCAGGGAGCTGGGCGCCTTCTGCTCTAGGCACCCAGAGCACGGTAGGGCGTCACATCCTGCCTGGGAAGCCGTCCTTTCTTGTTACCGGGACACTCACAGTGACACACCACTGGCTCGTGTCAGCTGAGGCGGGGGGAGGCAGAGGTACCCCTGGAGGAGGTGTTTTCCATTCCAAATTTCTTTTTTGCGGCATGACTATTTCTAGCCCCCTCCTCAGGTCAGGACCAGTAACAATCCCACGAGCTGCCAGTCGCTGCTGAGAGACCACAGGAGAGAAGCCGGGCCCAGCTTACGCCAGAGCAGCGGCCTCAACCGTGGCAGAGCAGTCTGAAAAACACGCATGTCCAAAGCGAGGCCTGGACGTGGGGCAGGTGACTCTACTGCCCGGGCAGGGCTGCCAGTCTGGCAAGCCTCCCTCGCCGCCTCGTGTCTCCACTGTAACCCACGGCTTTCCTGGGCTACCGGTCGCCTCGCT